GAGAGAGAGAGAGAGAGAGAGAGAGAGAGAGAGAGAGAGAGAGAGAGATGGAGACCCAGAGAAAGAGGAGAGCGACATAAGAAGAAAAAGAGTGCATATTATGTTTCATAGGATATACAAATAGACTAATGAATGATTAAATTTTTCTTAAAATTTGATAGTTTTTACCATCTGTTTTGTCACCTAAAAGGAACCTATAATTGACCTATAATCCATAATTAAAGCCATAATTCTTAGAGAAAGAATTGTTCAAAGAACATTTTTATAGATGTACAGAACCTCAGTCCTAAACCTTTATGTACATAAAATAATAATTTATTTTAGAACATAGTACTCCCTTGGCTCTGTTAAAAAGGAAAGCATATAACTCCTGTTGTTGTTAAATTCAGTGCAACTAATTTAAAGGGTTTCACGTCCTTTATGTTGTACTAACAAATTCCTTTTGAAGTTATTGTCAACTCCTTTCTTCTTTCTTTTGAAATCTACAGCTATGTTAAAAGACACACTTTGTAATCCAATCATCTGTAGATATTTCCTATTTCAACCACAGTGCTCTAGTATTCTGTAATATAAAACTGAAAATGGAAGAAAACTGAAATTTTCAATTGTATAAAACTATTCTTAATAATGTCCTTTTAATTTAAGCTATAGTTAGTAGAAAGCTAAATTCTTGCATCTAGAACCCAATTTAAAATCATCTATTTATGTTTATACCAATCCTACTTCAGGGATCTACAGTTTATAGGATTCTGAATTTATTATTATAGAAAGATGCTATGCATTTTAAGAAATGAAACTTTTCCACATGACATTTGACTCACCTGATTTGTTATTATATGTTATCACAGTTTCTATAATTTAAAATATATTGGGGAAATTCAGAATAGAAGAAATTATCTCTGTAAAATACAACAACATCCATTATAACAGCTTTTGTTTGTTTTTTTGTTTCTTGTTTGGGGTTTTGTACTAGAATTTGAACCCAAGACTGTAATCCTGAGCTAAATCTGTAGTTTATTTTCATTACTTTTTAGAAAGAAAAAATATTTTGAGTCAAGTTCTTACTAAATTGCTAAATGCTCAGGCTGAGCTGAAAACTTTATTCCTCTTACCCCAGCCTCCCAGAGTGTTGAAATTGCAGGCATGTGCCAACCAACTGTCTGCAGCAGAATTATAAGTCCTACAGTATCTTGGTGAACTTAACAATCTTATTATTTTTAA